CTATCTGGCTTTCAGAAGACATCTGAAGGCAACCCTGTATGAGGATATTTTTAATGGCTAATGTTATTTTTTTATGTGCTAGAAACCGCCCAAAGCGTTTGGGGAAACCCAGCCAGATGGGTGGGGTATAAATTATAAAATTATCATGAGGGTTGTTTTGTGGAAGAACAGAAGCCTTTCTCAGAACACCTAAAGAAATATAATAGTATGATGAATTTGTGAGCAGGATTTGGACTATGAGCAACAGAAGGAATTAGAGATTATTGTATGGTGATTAGAATATAAGAGAGAGACTATAGCATGCAGGAAGGGAGAGAAATTAAAAACACCATGGAAAACAGGAAGGGAAAATGTTTTGGAGTGTATATGTGAAACCTAGTAAACAACAACAACAACATTTTGAGATTTTTGCAATGTCCACAAAATAAGAAGCCTAGAACTGGCTTGCTTCATTGGAACAACAACCAGCGAATGCAAATGGTAGAAATATGCTTTTCCTTAGGATATCAGAGCACTTGGAGTTCAAGCCTAAAATAAAAGAAGATATTTCTAAAATCTCTCCCTCCCCACCACTCACAGGAGAGTGTCTATATTTGCATAAAAGATAATTGGCCAATCATCAGCTAGTTAGGAAGGCCAGGTTTTACTATTTAGGTGACAAAGGAAAACACATACTGAGTACAACAAATTAGCTTTTCTGACTCCCAGAATGAAGCTCTTCACTTTTAAAATGGAAGCCAGTAATGTGTCACACTGGCTCGACCTAAAGTGTGCCAGGGTCTTAAGTACAGTAACCCCACCACTTGTGCAGGGGTTAGGTTTGATGGATTGCACCTAAAGCCAAAATTGTGTATAGTCAAAATCCATTGCGTTCAATGGCAGGTGGGATTGCCAAAGTTATTTTTTCCTGGAACCCTGCCCACTTTCTGCTCCTTTTCATTTATTTTGTTTTAAATTGCCAGGCACGTAAAGCTGAATGCACACAAGTTAAATGTGCATAAGTTGCGGGTTTCCTGTACAATTTACCAGGGCTGCTCAATATTTGGGATTTTCATCTGGAGTGATAAAGCAGCGAACTTGGGCAGAGCACCCCGAGCTGCAACCAGGAGAAATAATGCAGAGATTAAAAATGGCAGGGAAAAACAAACAAATGCAACAAGCTGGGAAATGGCTGGGAAAATTGCAGGAGAAAAGCAAATACCATGTAATCAGTGAAAACTCAGAGATGGCAATCCTAGAGTGTCCTAAAAATAAAACAGATGGAAACTAGTGGCAGAAAAACTGAAGGCATGATGTGTTAGTTTATTAGAAGAAAAAATGTTTCCTAGTGTGTAAAAGTACAACAATTACAACTTACAGTTAACAGTGAAGGCCAGGGGCTGACTTACAATGTGAAATATCATTTATACCCTATGAATAGTAACTAAAACTATACAATACAGTGGTACCTCGGGTTAAGTACTTAATTCATTCCGGAGGTCCGTTCTTAACCTGAAACTGTTCTTAACCTGAAGCACCACTTTAGCTAATGGGGCCTCCTGTTGCCGCCGCGCTACCGGAGCACAATTTCTGTTCTCATCCTGAAGCAAAGTTCTTAACCTGAAGCACTATTTATGGGTTAGTGGAGTCTGTAACCTGAAGTGTATGTAACCTGAAGTGTATGTAACCTGAGGTACCACTGTAATTTGTGTACTCTTATAATTCTGCAGAATTCTTGCCCCCCCCCCAAGTGAATAGAAAAAGAAACAAAACTAATAATCCATGGTAGGGACTTTAAATTATGAGGGACTAGAACACAGCCTTCATTTTTGATCCAGATCAAATAATCAATTGGCTGTTTACAGAATATTTATGGAGCGAGCCAAAGACATAAAGACAATTGACTATTAGTCCTCCTGTTTACCTAGATATCCTTTTTTAAAAAAAAGTTTATTGCCTTCATAGGTATAAGAACAAAGGCAAAGTGTGTGTGTGTGTGTGTGTGTGTGTGTGTGTGTGTAGCAAGTTCACAATTCAAGTGTTCCCAGGGTTATGTACAAAAATGTCCTATATGCACAACCCAAAATGTACTCTTGATTGTGTGAATGCTTCCAAAACAGAAATTTGTGGAGATGCAATATTATGCAATAAGATATTGGTATACTGGTAGTATACTTCTAACAATAATCAGAGGCGTTGGCATTACTGGAGTTAACAACAGAGGTGGCATAAGACTAGTTTAAACTGGTTTTATGTGCATATGTTGCTTTTCTCTTTCCTCCAGTGACATGAACATCTGTGCTCATGTAAATGATCCCTCGCTTACCATTTATAACTACTAGTGCCCAGAGTGGCATTTTCCCACACACACAATGTGCTACAGTGATTTGCATAAGGAGGACACAGAAGCCATATTGAGACATTTGGTACCAGTGGGCAACCAGCACTGCTGGTGGTAGCAAGAATATGCAGGCTAGCCCTTCTCTACCCGGACACGGATATGTTCACTGGCAATGCCCCCGAGATGTTGCATGTTTGCCATTAGTCCAATGCGGCACACACAAGGACAGGTGTGCATGTTTAGGGCTTCCTTCATGGGGACAGGATGAAGCATAATGGGAGAGGCTGAGGATAATGTTTTAAAAGCATATTTTCAGGATCCGGAGAAAATCCAGTCATGTTTTCAGAATCATTGCCCAGAATTTTCTCAGCCCGGGCTATAGCTATTTGCCCTTAAAACAGATACAGCCAGCTGCACTATTGGACTCAAGCTAGGAACAGTGTGAGCAACTTTTTAAAAAGTAAGCAGGTGTCTATATTGGGACTTTGACAGGGGCATTTATCCTTCACCCTCACAGTCCTAGTCCGGACCCAAACTCCTGTGCTAGGTATTTGCATTGGACAGAAAGTACCCATTCAGACCATTCAGGAAAAATTCAAACTAAAATGCTGAAGAATTATCATAAGTTTTGGGTGTTTTTAAAAAAATAATAATCACAAATTACTGTAGAAATGTGGAGAATTGATTTTAAGGTTGGAAAACGTAGGACCTGAGAGAACCAAAAGCTGACAAATTCATCCATCCCTACTCAAGACTGCATTGTGTACATTGTTGTTTAGTTGTTTAGTCATGTCCAACTCTTTGTGACCCCATGGACCAGAGCACACCAGGCACTCCTATCTTCCACTGCCTCCCGCAGCTTGTTCAAACTCATGCTGGTAGCTTTGAGAACACTGTCCAACCATCATGTCCTCTGTCATCCCCTTCTCCTTATGCCCTCAATATTTCCTAACATCAGGGTCTTTTCCAGGGAGTCTTCTCTTCTCATGATGTGGCCAAAGTATTGGAGCCTCAGCTTCAGGATCTGTTCTTCCAGTGAGCACTCAGGGCTGATTTCCTTAAGAATGGATAGGTTTGATCTTCTTGCAGTCCATGGGGCTCTCAAGAGTCTCCTCCAGCACCATAATTCAAAAGTATCAATTGTGTACATTAGTTATGCTTTAGCTGTATTATACTCAAAGTCATTGTATCTTCCCATCTTGCCAGCAAAACTTATGGGTGAACCGAGGAATTAAATCATGTTTGTTTTAGTGAGTATGGACCCAGGGACAGATAGTCATTCTGGATGAGTCAACATAGGATAAACCCTTTGATCTTCTGCATGTGGCACTTGTTGCATAGGATTCTGAGATCCTAGTCATTAATCCTGCAGCAGACCTAGATGATGCTAAATTTCCACAATAAGCTTCTGGCGCCATTTTGATAGGCCTAACTGAGTGCAATGGTAAACAAGCCCCTCAGATGAGTGGAACCACATGGGAGTCCACTGCCCCAAATTGTCCTGCCTTACACCATTGACTTTTTAATGAGGCACTGGCCCATACCTGTTGTTCAGTCTCTGAATTTCCTCTGCACCCACAGAATAGGAAAACACTTGCCAAATACAGAACACCCGCCATAGTGAAAAATGCTTCAACTTTGTAGAATGCCAAACTTCTATTATACCGGGAAATGCATTTACTTTGACTTTAGTGGTATTTTCTTGATCTCCTCATTGCCTTATATTTCATATTGAATTACAGTAATGTAACTAGTCATCTATATGCTCAGCAGTCTCCCCGCCCCTTTCCTCCAAACCAAAAATCACTCAGTCAAAATCATTGTAGACCTTTATGAGATACTGCTGCTAGAATTCCTTGTTCTCCCAAACTTAGATGGCTTCTGCTTAAGCATTGTTATGACATTGACGGGTGGGGGTGGGGGATTTGTTAACTATTGCTGTCCAATACTATGTGTTTCCACTTTTCTTCTTCCTTACCAGTAGTATTCATTACTTTACAATATTAGGCTCCAGATACAGAACAAATGAGAAGCTGCAACAGTGCAAATCTGCTTAGTCTGCTGCCCCAACTAAGCCTCTAAGTAAGCTAGTTTCTGGCTTATCATACACCACCTTCTAAATATGTTTTTCCAAACTGAAAAGATTGCTTAATGTGAGATGATTTCAGTCACTGCAAATATATAAATGATCTTGGATGCTCATTTGGCTCCCTTGGTGTGGCTTTCATTTATCCTAGTAATACTATTGCTGAATTTTAGGCTCTCTCGCTCTGTCCCTTGCCTCCCCACTCCGCGGACAAATTCTGGGCATGCACATTCCAGCACTGCTATCTGCACAATCTCCCCCAGCATAAAATGTATAAGTCCCTGAGCCTGTCTGGAGGGATGATCAAAACAATTTGGTTCCTGTCCAGAATCGCAATGCCCCTTCCTACCAAACCAACTCCTTTCATCTTCTACACTAAAAGTTAAAAAAAAACAACAACCAGCAAACAAAATATCTGGCATGGAAAGCTGCTGGTACAATGTCAACAATGACATCGTTTGTGTCAATTGTTCCATTATTATCCTTATTGTTATTACCTAGCTGCTGAAACCAAACGAAATGGCAGTTGCGGCACTGTGGGAGTCCAACATTAATTAAAATGGATGAGTATGTATAAGCAGTATATGTATGGATGCCACAGATTTATTTTTCGCTGTACAAACAAGCCTGGTGCAAGGCTATAATTCAGTTCTATATGTTCACAGAGGCACACGGAACATTATTGCACAGCCCCTTTTGCAAAACCGCACTCCACGTCCCCGTTTTTTTGCGGCTCGAACCCCGTACGGACGCACACTTGGTGCATGCATACATCTCACGGCCCTGCATCTCGACAGATGTTAGCTAATGTGGTTGTAGAAGGTTCACCGTGGTTGCTGCGAGCCCAATAAATCTTCCTCTTAAATGTAGGCACTCCACCATCTCAGCATCTTCAACCTATAATACATTTTAATTACTTGGCTATTCAAATTATACTAAATTAGATCTGCACAGAGTCGTATCACAGATTTCTCAATTTACATTTAATCCACTGCAAACAAAATCATAATAGCAAAAGTGTGGGATTTGGAGGGGAGGGCGGTGCTGGGGAGGCAAGGAGGGAGGGAGACTTCTGTTAGAATTTGCAGGCGTTCCTGAAGTTTGATCCTCTTAAAAATTATTAAGTGACAAAATTACTAGCAGTAAGGTTCTACTTTGCTTCCCCATTAGCCATTTAGGTGACAGCTGCTGCATTACACATAAAGATGAACCATTCCTTGAGGGATGATAGTGGTTCCGCTGTGACACTACTGGCATAAAGCATTATCAGACCATAGCTGTGCTTAGAGCCATCACAGTCTCCTAGGCACCTATCAGTACCCTCATTATCTGCATCACAGAGTGTCTAGAAAGAACACTGCCAGGCTTCACAGCTTTGCAGCTCATTTGAGAAGCGGAAATTAAATGTCCCAGGAGAAAAAACAGGCACATTGTAACGGCACCAGAGCTATACCACCAATAACATGTTGACTGCTGCAGCGCACTGACTTCTGTCTCATTAATTTAATAGGCTCCTGGAATGGGGGTGGGAAGGGGTGGGGGATGGGAGAAAGAGAGAAGGAACATCTACAAGTAGATTACAGGATGCTGCTCTCATTGCGTTCTCATTGTACACTCAGTACCTGAGCACTTAATACTGGGTGTCAGCAGAGTATCAGATCTCGGTTTCATCCGCTGGAAATACTGCATGGTAAAGCAGAAAGTGCACACAGACACAAAGACTGGAGAACAAGGACCCCAAGCATAGGACTGTGGCCACACGCTCCCATTTATTTACTCTGCATCCAGTGTGCTCCCACTGTTGGTTTTGGAAGAGTGTACACACAACAGTAGACACAATCCACATCTAGGATGTATCTAACCTGCTGTTTCTTATAACATACTGCATGTTGCTGCACTACTCTCCAAACCAGTTTTGGTCCGAACTGGAAAAATAATAACGCCCCAGCTGCATTTTAATATGGTAGTGTGTACACAGACATTTTCTGTCCCTGATTCATGCCAAACCTGGCATGTGACCACAGGGCCATTCTTGCAAAGCACCAGGATAAAAGAACCTGCTTTAGGTGATACCATGAGAGGGGGCAGAAGAAGACTGGGATTGGTATCATAAGGCGCAGGAAAAACTTATAAGGGTCTTAGCTGGGACTCAGTGGGGAGAGGAGAGGGTCCCTTTGAACTCCACATCAGGCAGAAAGTTGTCTTGGGTCGGAACTGTGTGGCTGTGGCCAAAGCAAAATTTGATTATACAGAACGTAACAGGGTTCTTTTTTTGCTATAGCAAATATATTCATTGAAAGATACAGTATGAGGTGATTAGGAGCTCATTAAACAGGGATTTGAAACTGTCTTTTGGCAGAACTGTTCCACTGAGATATATAATCTGTGGGATAATCAGCCTCATATAACCAACATACTTACGGTAAATCTAATTAACACGAAGGGGTTAATACCACAGAGTAAGCTTTCCTGCTAGGCTTAGCAATATCCACTTCCCCTCACCTTGAGAGGAACTAGCTTCCCAGCTTCTGCCAACCTAGCAGTTCGAAAGTATGCCAGTGCAAGTAGATAAATAGGTACCACTGCGGTGGGAAGGTAAACAGCGTTTCTGTGCGCTCTGGTTTCCGCCACGGTGTTCCATTGTGCTAGAAGTGGTTTCATCATGCTGGCCACATGACCAGGAAAGCTATCTGTGGACAAACGTCTGCTTCCTCGACCTGAAAACAAGATGAGCACCGCACCCCATAGTCACCTTTGACTGGACTTAATCATCCAGGGTTCCATTAGCTTTAGCTTTACCTATTTGCCTTGCAGGTTAATGCGCAGGTTTGGATCATAGCTTACTGTAATTGAGTGTGATTGAAGACTGAAAAGGCACAAAGTTTCTCCTTCCAGTCTGCCTGAGAAGCTCAGCATATAATGAGGTTTGAGCTGGTTGCTCAAGCTCAAACCGCATGGCTTTCTTCAGCCATTCTTGAGTTTCTATACCAAAAATTTAGAAATTTTCAGCACTAACCCAAGTTTTAATGCCTGTGCAACTTTTCTGAAGCACACGAGTCTGACCTATTGAGAGCTTTTAATTAAAGCATTTTTTAACTTACCAAACTGGTCTTTTTTCTAAGGTAGGGGAAGAGGGAAACCTTGGAACTCACTTGAAAGGGCATATTTTAAAGGTCTAACACATGGATAGGCAAACTAAGGCCCGGGGGCCGGATCCAGCCCAATCGCCTTCTAGATGCGGCCCGTGGACGGTCCAGGAATCAGCGTGTTTTTACATGAGTAGAATATGTGCTTTTATTTAAAATGCATCTCTGGGTTTTTGTGGGGCATATGAATTTGTTCATTCCCCCCCCCCAAAAAAAAATATAGTCCGGCCCACCACAAGGTCTGAGGGACAGTGGACTGGCCCCCTGCTGAAACAGTTTGCTGACCCCTGGTAACAGCCTATATTTCTACACTTTGCTTTGCTGCATATTTGGTGACTTTAAATCTCTGCCGGAGTTCTCTCACCAAAGCGTATTTGCCCCAAACTTGGATCTTGGCATCCTGGAATTCTCCTTTTTTACCTATTTCTTCCTTGAGCCAACATAATATGCAGCAGGAGGCATAAGATTTGGCCCTATGAGGGACAACAGTGTTCTTACAGCAGGACTATGAACACAGCCTTCCACATCTCCAAAAATGCTCATGAGCTGATTTAGACAATCCACAAAAGGTGAAGGGAGTTCCATGATACTATATCAGCTACTGAAAGCACCCTTCCTTGTGTCCTGGTTATCTGTGACATGGCTAAATGCACAAGTGGCAACCACAGCCCTTCATGTTCAGTGCTGTCTCTTCCACATCGTCCACATGAAAACCACCAAACTCATCACAGTTACTTTCAAGCATAGTAACTTTTGTACCCTCATGTATTCACAGCATCAGACTCCATAATGGGGTGGGGGGGAACCCTGATGAGGTTCTGTGAGTAAGTTTATCTTCATATCTTGGTGCGATTCTTAGGAGATGATTTTCCAGCTAGTTGAAGTTATCATGGCAGATCCTCCAAGTGTCCCTATTTTCCAGGGACAGTCCAGGATTTACAGAAGCCATCCTGGTTTCTGATTAGATCCTGAAATGTCCCACTTTTCCTTAGGATGTCCCTATTTTCATCAGAGAAATGTTGGAGGGTATGGAGTTATGGAACTCCCGAGCGAAAGAGATATGTAACTATACAACCTTTAGAAGATATCTGAAGGCAGCCCTGTATATTGACATTTTCTTAATGTTTAAAGTTTTATTATGTTTTAATATGTTGGAAGCCACCCAGAGCGGTTGGGGCAGCCCAGGCAGGTGGACTGGGTATTATTATTATTATTATTATTATTATTATTATTATTAAATAGGACATCCTTGTTTTCATCAGAGAAATGTTAGAGGGTATGTAATGGAGCAAAGGAATTGGACTCTTACTGCACAGTCCTCCTAACCCTGTTTTCTCAGAAGTAAGTTTCAATGCCACTTACTTCTAGGCAAACTGTTTTGGAAATGTAAGGCCCAAACCCCTTTGAGGCTTTATAATAGAGTTTTTGGTGTATGAAACCATTTCTCATTTGTTCCATTATCTCCCATAACTGGGATTGTAGCAGGCAAAATAAACGTAGCCTACTGAAAAGGAGAATAGGAATGCCATGCTGGAACAGTAAAGACTACAGTGCAGATTGTAAAGGAAATTTGTGCCTGAGTAATGAAAGCACTGACAGACTCTTATCTCACTTTACAAGCTGCGAGGCTCCAGTATTATAAACTTGATTCATTTCTCTCAAGAAAGGGTCACTTTTTGCACAGACTGCACCTAAACTTTATACAAGCTTTTTAAAAGGCCATTAAAATAGAGATTTTGGGAAGGACCCAGTGACAAACATCCGCCTGCAGGCAATATATATATGTGTATATATATATATACACAGAGAGAGAGAGTGTGTGTGGTACCTCAGGTTAAGAACTTAATTCATTCCGGTCCGTTCTTAACCTGAAACTGTTCTTAACCTGAGGTACCACTTTAGCTAATGGGGCCTCCCGCTGCCGCCACATGATTTCTGTTCTCATCCTGAAGCAAAGTTCTTAACCTGAAGCACTATTTCTGGGTTAGCGGAGTCTGTAACCTGAAGTGTCTGTAAGCTGAAGCATCTGTAACCTGAAGCGTCTGTAACTTTAAGCATCTGTAACCTGAGGTATCTCTGTATTTTTTAAAAAAATGGTTTTTCAAAAACGAATGCAGTCAAGAAGTCACTGGCGGCAGCAGTGACACTGCAGCTCAGACACTTCCAAACCCTTTTCATCCCTCACAAAAAGCCTCTTTTTGTTGTTTCTTTGTTTTGCTGACCTACAATATGGCTGCTGGTGCCTGCTCCTGATAAGCAGTGAGCCATACAGAACTTGTTAGGTTTCCCTCTGTTCAGCCTGCCAGGGCTGAGTCGCAATGTGTGACAAACAAGCAAATAGCAGGTGACACTCCCATTCCTCGCCGCAGTCCAAGAAACCTCAAGTCATACGAGTATTAAAATTTACCCTCCATAGAGCTCTTTCCTGAAATGACTATTAAGCCCTGCTGAAAGCCGATAGCGAAAAGGCGGTCACCTAACCGTGAGCTGCACCCCCAGCCTGCTCAGTAAGGTTGGCGGGAGAAGAAAGGGAAAGGAGAAAGAACTGGCAGTGGTAGCAGAACAGGCACCATCTTTGTCCAATAGGTCTGTACAACTTGTGACCTTTTAAGCCAACCACAAGCCACCAATCATTTATTAAGACCTATCAGGAGCTTGCAATCCCCTCTTTTGACTTGGCTACTATTCCCCCGCCCCCCATCCTCCATTTCCCCTTCTTTTTCTCCACTTTTTTCCAGCCACCATCCCTTCCCTGTGGGGTTACACTTTCTCACCGATCAACAAAAGCCAGTCTTGGGAATTATAGGGACAGAACTACCTAAAACGTATAGAAACTTATTCATATACAGTGGTACCTCGGGTTACATACGCTTCAGGGTACGGACGCTTCAGGTTACAGACTCCGCTAACCCAGAAATAGTACCTCGGGTTAAGAACTTTGCTTCAGGATGAGAACAGAAATCGTGCTCCAGCAGCGTGGCGGCAGCGGGAGGCCCCATTAGCTAAAGTGGTGCTTCTGGTTAAGAACAGTTTCAGACCTCCGGACCTCCGGAACGAATTAAGTACTTAACCCGAGGTACCACTGTATGCGAATGTTACTTGCCCCTAAATGGAAAGAAGAAGAAGTACCAGCAAAGGAAGAATGTACACAAAAACTTATGGAATATGCAGAAATGGCGAAACTTACCAGAAGAATAAGAAATCGAGATAACAAACTTTTATACAAGAATGGAATTGGTTTATTGAATATTTACAGGTAAATTGTAAACAGATAAAAACATTGGCAAGGTTCTTGTAAATAACCTGTAGTTTCATAAGAATATATATTTAAAGAATACATGAACAAATGAAGTTAATTTGGATATAGAGAATATATTGAAAATAAATTTCAGGAACTGCGGAAAGTGGGGAAAGGAAGTCAAGTTTTGAAGTGTCAAAATGATTGTAAAATCAGTGAAATGTATAAATCTGAAAAGTATAAATAAAAAGTTTTTTAAAAAATTGAAGATGGTTAAAAAACAAAACAAAACAAAAAGCCAGTGCTATTTTTCTAGAAAAAGAGGTGACAGAACTCACCCTGAATGCCTCCCTTGTTCTCTTATAATGGCAATGGCGCCTACCTGAGTTCTGTTGAGTTCCGGCTAGAAAAAAGCCCGGAACAAAACTATAACACTTCTTGCTGCAGAGGAATCAGCATCTCAGCACAACTGAGGGGGGTCCGACACAACGTCCTGACATAGCATGTGTGATGTCACAGGGAGCCAGGGGGTGGAGCCGAATGCCCTCTGAACATTGAGGGGGCCTGGCCCCCTAAAAAACATGGGGGGGAGTACTTCGGCCCCTAGGAGCCCCCGCTAATGGCTTGGTGTCATTTTCCACCTCCCTGATAAGTATGTGTATTTACAGTATTGATGCTTTTGAAGTATGGTGCTGGAGGAGACTCTTGAGAGTCCCATGGACTGCAAGAAGATCAAACCTATCCATTCTTAAGGAAATCAGCCCTGAGTGCTCACTGGAAGGACAGATCCTGAAGCTGAGGCTCCAATACTTTGGCCACCTCATGAGAAGAGAAGACTCCCTGGAAAAGACTCTGATGTTGGGAAAGATGGAGGGCACAAGGAGAAGGGGACGACAGAGGACGAGATGGTTGGATAGTGTTTTCGAAGCTACCAGCATGAGTTTGACCAAATTGCGGGAGGCAGTGGAAGACAGAAGTGCCTGGCGTGCGCTGGTCCATGGGGTCACGAAGAGTCGGACACGACTAAACGACTAAACAACAACAAAACTGAGATCCACATTATGGCAGCCTAGCATTATTACTGATCAGGGGTGCCAACTTAAATAAAATATGGGGGAGGGATTTGCTAAGTGAGCTCTGCCCCGCATAATCACTCACAAGTCATGGTTCACACACACCATTTGAATGGCAATGCACATCAACTTGGGGGGCAACCCCCTCAAATACTTATGGAGGGGGGCAAAGGGAACTCAGCCCCTAGAAGTTGGCTCCTATGTTACTGATCTTTGTGAAAAATCATACAGAAGCGCGTGTTCGGCAAAACTGCTTTAAAAAATTGGTATATTAGTAAATATACACATTGAGATGTGGGTGAATTTCATGAGAACTTTTTTTTAGAGAATGAAAATCACAAACTGATGCAAAAATGTGGCAAACTGAACTTAAGATTTAGAAACTGGATTGTACCAACTAAATTCTGCTCAGAGTAAGCATGAGACTCTTAATTTCAGGGCCGTGGGTTTGAGGGTTGGACTCGATGACCCTCGTGGTCCCTTCCAACTCTACCATTCTATGATTCTATGAAACGTATGGACCTAAGTTAGACATGCCGAGCAATTTCAGAGTATATACTCTGAGAATGACTTACAATGGATTCAATCTGCTAAAACTGACAGATTTTGCCCATTCCTAACAGAGGATGGGGACACGGATGGCGCTGTGGGTTTAGCCACAGAGCTGAGGACTTGCCGATCAGAAGGTTGGCAGTTCGAATCCCTGCGACGGGGTTAGCTCCCTTTGCTCGGTCCTTGCTCCTGCCAACCTAGCAGTTCGAATGCACGTCAAAAGTGCAAGTAGATAAATAGGTACCGTTCTGGCGGGAAGGTAAACGACGTTTCCGTGCACTGGTCTGGTTTGCCAGAAGCACCTTAGTCATGCTGGTCACATGTCCCGGAAGCTGTATGCTGGCTCCCTTGGCCAATAAAGCGAGATGAGTGCCGCAACCCCAGAGTCGGCCACAACTGGACCTAATGGTCAGGGGTACCTTTACCTTTAACAGAGGATGATCCCATTCATTCCCTCGTCAAATTCAGTTCCCAGATCCACTGATAGCACTGGTCCAACTGAATCAATGTCTGCTGCTGTTTCGTCATGTATTGGATCTTAATAATGTGCTGGCCACATTCCTAGGTCAAAATCTAATAAAAAGTGTAAGAAATGCTTCCCCCCACCACTCCAATCTTGAGAAGTCTTTGGTACTCTCAAATATTTTTTATGTTGCAGAGTGAAAGTACGAGTGGTTTTCCACAGGAATAACTTGAGAAATAATAATTGTGTGAACTCTGTGACAAGTTCACATCACAGGAATGTGGAATAAAGCTGCTACCCGACATGGAACGTCAATTAATAAAACAGTGAATGTACCCTGAATTTTATTTACGTTGTAGATGGGAGTTGAACCCAAACCTAATGAAGGAAATAATGTGATCTGTCAAAAAGAAAAGAAATGAAATGACAGTCCTATTTCTTGATTCACACTAGTACATTTTGAAATGTATTTTACTGGCTTTTCTATTAATAGGTACATTCACTATGAGCTATATGTTTTCTTTATGAACTGGGGAGGAGTGGGGAGCCTAGTATCTTAAAATCTTTCTCAGGACAAAGGGAGCTAATCATCAATACATTTAAATGGTAATTATTAAATTTTCATTTTCAGTCTTCCATTGCGGTGCGTTTTGCATTTTCCTGTCCCTTTCCTTTGAAAATAGGTGCAGAGATCAAGCTGATATTTCTACTTTAAATCTAGAATTGTGTTCCAAACATGAGTACCAGATTTTGTTCCAATGTCTCAGTTTTCAAGGAAATATTGCATTAAAAATAAATAAATATAAAAAGAGTGAATCCCAAATAAATGAGTTTAAATGAAAAGCATAATTTTGTCAGACCAATAAGCTTGTTTGCAAAGAACAGGTCCTGCTTTCTGAAAGCTTGATATGTGAAAATTCACTTATCCGAACATGAATAATTATGCCGAAACATTGCTACACACATGGCTAATTCAGATATCCAAACAGCCTGAGTTTGCCCACTTCCTTACTTGTTTCTGCTTTGCCAGTTGACGGCAGTCATTTTCAGGCAAAAACCATGGAGAGAGGGAAGGGGGAGAGAGAGATTGGATAAATCAGAGAGCAGGATAGATAAGGCAAATAGGTTTTTCCATTGTCTCTCTTTTGCTGGTTAGCTGCAGCCATTTCAGGAAGAAACTATGTTAGGAGAGGGGAGAGAGATCACAGATTAGGAATGTTCCCATAAGAAATAATGGAAATTGTCAGCTTGTTATCCGAACACTCGTCTAACAAACAATGTATTGGGAACACACTGTTTTTGGAACGTGGGACCTGCATGTACACAGAAATAAGTCTCATTGAGCTGAGTGATGTGCCTAGGACTGAGCCTAAGTCCCATTACTTTCAATGAGTATGTCAAACCATTTCTCTGGTTAAATAACGTTATTATTTATAGATAGACAATGCAACCATCTGCTTGTCTTTGGACATAAATTTGTCTATGTGGATTTTCAATCACAATTCCATTCAAGGCTCATATTTCTGAAAGAATGTAGAACCCATAAAGCACAAATCTGAGGCATATAATACCAATTTATTGAATGTCAGTGCATACTGACCTCCTATTACAAACACTGGCAGATGGCCACTGCTTCAGTGCTCAAGAGTGGTCTGAATAGCAAATCAAGAAGTGACTTAGCTTGGTGTTGTGTGTGTGTGTGTTGTGTTTGCCTCATCACCATCGCCCATAGCAACACTCATTGGTATCTATATGAACATGGTGACCAGTCCCTTTGCAGCACAACAAAACTATTGGAGGTCCCATGGATACCTTATCCTGCTCTGTCAAATCTACCAAGCATCAAGGCTGGCCTGCTGGTGGGAAGAGTGAAGCACATTGGCTGCTTGGCAGAAGTCCTAAGAAAGGAAGCAGCAGCATTAGCCGGTTTCCCATCGGAACCATGAAAGGCGGCAAAGAATGGTAGTGGTAATTATTTTCATCAAGCGGCTACAGTCCTCAGTCTCACAGAAGGAAGCCCGTGACTAACTACATCCCTAAACTGGTCCCTTCATCTATAGTGTGAGCACATCTTAGCCCCGAAGCAGCCCAGTAGCGAGAGCATACATTAATCTGAGCGCTGACCTTTTCCTAAATGCTTTCCATT